GGGTACTACAGACTCTTTGACTGTTTAAAATCCCAAAAGTTAACCGCCGGTTCCCCAAGAATACTGGACAAGCAAGATTGTGAAAGCTTGATATTCTTGGCACCATCAGCAGCAATTGGGGTTGGAATGTTTTTGTTAGGATGGATGGAAATATGCACTAATAAAACAAGAAAAGCACCCCAGACCCTAAACCGCTTCTTCCTTCGGTGCCAGGCACTGGCGAGTTTGCCGGGGGTCAAAGAACCAGGCAGACGCCCAGAGGCCAACTGCGATGATGTTTGGGAGAAGGTTGAGGGTTTGGTTTCGGGTGTAGAAATTAGGAGTTGGGGCTTCGAGGGCTTATCGATTGAGGGGCATCAAGAGACTAGGGATTTACGGCTTTAATTATGGTTTGAGAGTCAAGGGTTTGGGGATGTATATGGCTCAGGGTTTGGGGGCTTAGAGTTTCGTGACTATGGTTCGCGGCAAAAGACCAGTTCTAGCCGCTCCCTGACCCATGTGCCTGCAGGAGAGGAGCACCACACACGCCTTCGGTCTATGAAGTTGAAGTATCTCTCAAAACCGAAGGGTAACGATCCACTTCTTTTTTCACCATTCAACCTGCATCCTCCAACCCGATCCTAGAACCGTTGCACAGAAACACTGCCCAATCATCTGTACGGTAGACCACAGAACCCGACTCCCTGGCCCTGATCCCTGACCTGCAAGCCCTACACCGCAAACCCCATCGCTACAACACCCTTACATTACGTGGCCGACGCCCGTGGAAGCAGAAGCCCAAAAAATCCTAAAGCCACCCAAATCCCCACAACCCCAAACCAAAAGCACCACACCATAAACCCAAAACGCATTGAACCCTATATAAACCCGAAAATAAAGCACTAATTCCTAAAACCCTGCCGTAACCTACCAAAACCTACTTTTTGGTAGAGTCCCTACATGTTGGGGCTTGGAATAAGAACCTACAAAAAAGTAGCCTATGGTGGTTTAAGGCAACACCCAAAGCCCCACAGGGATGCAGACGACGGCAGACGGAAAGTGGAGCTCGGGGACCTCATCCGCTTGGTCGAGCCTCACGCGTTTGGTTTTGGAGTTTAACCCTAAACCCCTAAACCCAAAAAAACCCTAAACCCTAAACCCTACACCCTAGGGGGGGGGGGGTAGCAGGGGTTCAAGGTGCAGGGTTCATGGGTTTGGGATTTAGGATCTCCAGCTCAGGGCTTTCGGGTTTAGCGGTTTAGGGTTAAGAGTCCCTCTTCCAGGAATTGAAAGCGTATCCTTACCAAGGTTTAGGGTTGTAGGGTTTTGGGCTTCGGGGTTCGTGGCTTAGGGTTTGGGCTTAGCCAATCCGGACGGGGGAGTTTCCGGTGCAGTGCAGGGCGTCATGGCTTCAGAGAGAGCAGCGGCTCGAGGCTGGGGTCCAGGTTTATGTTGGCTCAGGGTTTATCGAGTTTAGGGCATGTAGGATTACTAGGATCGAGGGTTTGGAAGGTGTTAGAGACTTCCGACACTGCATGTAAGAAAACCTCATTGAGGCGTAGAGTCTGGAGTTCACTTCCACTTTTCCTCTGCCAGTTTCTGGAAGGTTCTACAAGAGCCAGGCGAGTGTCTCTGCAGTTTCGGCCAGCTTGTGGCCAAGCGTCTGCAGTCAAAGGATTGCTCGAGCGTCATATGGGGAGTTTTGGATTTTAGGTTTGGGGGTTTAAAGGCTAGTGTTTCATTCATATAATGGATAATTAGAGTCCAACCAGTCATGTAAGTACAGTTTCGCTCGTCAGAACCTGAATGCCCTGTCGGGAGCAAAAGCATCCTTTTTCATGGGAAGCGGAAGTTCAGCTGCCATCCGCCACGGGATTGACTCTGCATCCGCGGAGGGTCTCAAGGAGCTTGTCCTTGGACTTCCGTCAGAAGAGCAGTCCAAGCTGCGTGAAGCCGTGGAAAAAGCACAGGGCCAGAGCATCGCTCTCGGGACTGCCGACTTGTCTGGCTTCTTTAGGAAGACCTACGTTGATGGTGGCTTGTACGATGGGTTGTGCTACAAGGAGGATATCGTCGAAGGAAGCCAACCAACATACAGGTACGATGCTCCCGATGGGCCGGTGCATGTTTGGCGCCATGCCCTCGATCTGTGTGGTTCTCATGAGGAAGAGGATGTCATCGTGTTGTATCACTACACGAACCTACTGGGCTTCATGAACGTCCTCGGACCTGTTGTTTCAGAAGTCTTGTTCTTTCTTGAATGAATGTTTCGAAGGTCTGAAATTGCCAAACTTGCAGGTCACAACCCCAGAAGAAGCCCAACACCATTTTTTTGGTGATGTTTTGGAGAACCGGGGTCACTTTGACAGCCGAGGCCTTTAGGACGCATTTTGCGGTGTTGAAACACGAAATGGGTCCGTTCTTGACCAGGTTTCAGCTTGCCCACTACATTCAATGACCAGTTCAGCCAAACCTACAAGGATTAGATCGCCTGAATCAGGGTATCCCTTAAGTTGTTATGCTTCGAAAGTGGTTTCTCTGGGCTGAAAACGGGTTAAAGGGAGGTCTTGGGCGGCTTGGGCTGAGGTTGTGGTTTACGTACGCGACCACACGCACACACATACAGATTTCGCGGCACAGTGGTTTGGGATACCGTTTGCGAGTGCGCCCAGAAAATCTTATTGGATTAATCTCTTTTGCGCCCTTAGATTCAAGAACTGTCGGCGGTATACAGCCAGTCCACCTAGTCCTTTCTCAAGCGATGCTACGCGTTCCGCCAACAACTAAGAAGAGGTTCAGGCCCGATACAACCTTTTGAACAAGCTCTAAAACCCCCCAAAACCCAGCCGGAGGCATCAGTTATAAATGAAAGCTCCAGCTTCAGAAAATGCGGAATGTTCCGGTTTTCATGTTTGGAATCCCTGAAACACAGCCGGGACTTGATTCAGGACCCCAGAAATCGCTAGAGGATCACATCCTTCCAAAACCAAGCCTGAGGCTTTTCGGTGCGGAGTGTTCCTGTTTCTACGTTTGGAAGCCTTGAAACCTGCAAGTGGGACATGGGTGAACGACCCTGCAGGTCCAAACCGCTTGTTGCACTTGCACGTGGACATATCCAACATTTCTCACGTTAAACAGTCGCGTGGTAAACGAATTTCGTTATAACGAGCCGGTATGTTAACACCAAAAACCTACCTAGGCTCCCTTCGTGTGCAGAACTGTAACAGACGAGGTTTCACTCAGTCGGCAAGTGAGCTGCGTGTTCGAAGCCTGCCCCATGCTGCACCAAGGTGTCAAATGTGCAACAGACTACATCGGAGCTTTTTGCTTCTCTAGTGGACTCTCGTGCACATTTTGGAAAGGGGCTCTATGCCACACAGCATGAGCCATCAGTGTGGCAGCACAGACTTCGCACACTCTTGAACAACTACAGCAACGGTGATCCTTGGAGGGTGGACCTTGAGGACGATGAGTGCAAGCTCAGGAACCAGGAATGGGGCGATGGGAGCGCCCTCGGACACAGGGCCGCATTCTGCGTGCCCTTGCGTGTGCCAAAGGAGTTGGCGTACAACATCTTCCAAAGGTTGACACCCGACATGAAGCAGAGGTGTATTCAGGGCGAGGATGGAAGGGAGCGGGCAGTTAAGTTGGGAGAAGACTACAAAGGACGTGAAGTGCACTCAAATCGAGATGTGTGGGTTGTGCGACTGATGGATGAGAATGGTCAAGTCAAGCATGCAACCGCTGCAAACCGAGGCCGCATTGATCTCCTCACCATTCGCCTGTCGAAGCTTCGAACCGCGCAAAAACTGTCGGATACTCAAGCCTTTGACTGTGCTCTGGAGCTCGGCTTTCGATTGTTGAGTCGGGGCAGGTTCCATGAAGCAGAAGGGCTTTTGCAAGACTGCTACAAGGAATGCAAGAAGGAGCTTGGAGATGTTCACCCTACCACTGTGAAAAGTGTTCTTGCGCTCGCTCACACATGTCGCGAACATGGACAGCTCCTGCCAGCGGAACATCTACTTCGAGATTCTGTTGCGGCGGTGACGAGCCAATTAAGTCCAGAAGAAGCCAGCAAATTAATGCCGGCCCTCGCCAACGAGCTGGTCCAGTGCTTCGTGGATGTGCAGCGCTTCGAAGACGGGGAGCAGTTCCTGCAGGATGCAGAGCCCTTCTTATCGGCGGAGTATTGCTGCCAGGGCCGTGCCCAGTTGAAGATGGCCCGCCTCGCCAACGCTGGGAAACCCGAGCAGCTCAAGGAGAAGTACCGAGGAGAGCTACTCGAGAGCCGGCGGAAGCTCGGAGCCATGCATCCACAGACCTTGGAGCTAACCAACTCTTTGGGCCAAGTCTTGCTGGAGTCAGCTGAGGATTATTTTGAGGCCGAAAGGATGCTTCGAGATCAACTGGAATCTGCCGACAAGAAGCTCGGTATGCATCCTATTCTGCTGGAGACGATGGCGATCATCTCCAGAGTTTATGCTCTCCAAGACAAGGGCGAGGAAGCCATCGAACTCGGAAAGCGTAGCTATGAAGGCAGCTGTGAGATGCTGGGAGCCAGTCATCCGCAGACGATGGAGCGAATGCGCCAGTTGGCAGAGATTCTCGCGATGGTGGGCCGTACTCGCGAGGCGGGGTGAAGGAGGGTTTCTACACCCTGGCAACGGAAGGGGACTCCTGTGTTGTCGAGAATAGGATCCGAAGGCTAGAAGAGTAGATGCGATTCTTGAACGAGCTCCCGTAATAACTTCAACCCCAGAAAGCCTAATCTCTATATTCTTCTTCCTAGACTAAGCCTTACAGTCAAACCTAGTGAGAGGCTGAGCAGCTTTACCACAGCTGCATTCATCTCTGCAAGGAGGCCAGCTCTTGGCGAAATTCGCGGCTCATGACCTTTTCAAAACATCGAATACGAATGGTTGGAGTTTCGGAAATAAGGGACATGTACATCGACCCAATTTCGTAAGATCATATAAGGACCCGAAGAATCGGAATCACTGCTTCTAGAAACTCGTATTTTGGTAGCGTGCTGTCCCCCCTTCCCCCCTCTGGGCGCCTGGTCTGCGCGGAGCGAAATGACTATCCATATCCTCGCTTAGGGTCCTCAATGTAGGTGTATGTACTACCTATAGTCTCCATTGTAGTTCCTTTTTTTGGTTTAACCAATTCTATATTAAGGTTCCCAAAAGGTAACCCCAAAAAGGAACTACGATGGAGTCTATAGGTATAACATACCACACAGCCCCATTCCAATTCTCAAAGCTCTATAGTCGACTGTAGGCTCTAACTTCTGTGGAGGGGCCTGGGAGCATCTGAACTGTATGCCCTGTATGTCCTGAAAATCCAAACCTGAACCAAGCCCGAAGGTTTCGTAAACCCTAAACCCTATGAGGCTTATAAGCCCCAAACCCTAAACCCTCAACCCTAAACCCTAAACCCTATGAGGCTTATAAGTCCCATCCCCTAGACCTCAAAGCTTGCACCCGACACCCTCAATGCAAGGTCTTCGGAGAGATGCACCCGACAAGTCTGCAAACAAAGACCTTGTTAGCGATCCTTCTCTTCAAGCATGGCCGGCCGAGCGAGGCCCTTCAGGGTCTGGCTGGGGGGTTTTGCGGTTTTGGGTTCAGCAGTTTGGTGTTTGGGGTTTATTGTGGATACTCCCCCCACTCCGTACCAGTTCACACACGTTTATATTACAATGGGGAGCGCACCCAACGTTTATTGGTTAAGAGTGTAGGGTTCAGCGTCTGACAGGGCTTGTTTACGGTCTGCTTCGATGCGTGTCCGAGATTTTGAGGTCTGTTGGCTTGGCTCGTGACACCGTAAACCTTATTGTTGTGTTGGCTCAACAAGTTTCTCGCTCCGATCTTAGATGCGCAGAGATGCACTTTATGCAACAATACCCGAGGTGTATGTGTTGATATGTAAACGGAGTGATGGGTCGACCAAGGAGTGTAGATAGATTGAAAATGTACATGTTGTTCTGTGTTGTGCTTGTGCTTGGTTGTTCTTTTGACTAGGTCATACTTCTCGGGGACTTAGTGCAACTGCAGCAGGAAATACAGACCCTCCGGTGCAAAGAAAGACTAGGATAGTAGATTGGGTTGAGAGTCTGTGGGGCCACCGTTAGGCTGAATCCACATTGTCAGGGTTTTTCGATTTGGTGTTTTTCAAACTGGCTTAAGCCATTTTGAGGTGTAACCTTTGGTCCACGACATGTGGCTTCGGGTCAGAGGGTCGTACACCAGGTTCTCGCAAACCCCTGCAAGGAGGCGATAAAGCTTGGGCTGGAAGCAGTGACTCGCTCCTTGCGCGCTGCGGACGGATGTCCAGATGAGGAAATTTCGGAACAAACGGTCGAGCTCATCGACGTCATGGCACCGCACTTGCTGCATCAGGGCCGTTTCCATGAAGCTTTGCCGCTGCTACAGTCGAGCCTGAAGACCAAAGAAGCTAAACTGGGATCCTCCCATAGCATCACCGAGCAGACCAGGGGTGCTTTTGCAAACTGCCTCTCCTACCTCGGGCGATGGAACGAAGTTGAGGCCCTGTGCCGTGAGAGGCTGGAGGCTTTGCAGCAAGTGAGCCCACCGAACTGGGAGAAGATCAGCACCATGAAGCGGGGCTTAGCAGGATCCCTTCTTCAGCAGCTCCGGTTCGCAGAGGGCGAGCAGCTCCTGCAGGAGGCCTTGGACACCAACCGCAGGGAGCTCGGAAAGACTCATCCTGAGAGCCTCGAAGTGATCAAGCTTCTGGCACCTCTCGCGCAGCATCTGGGAAGGATCCCAGAGGCCCAGGCACTTCTTGAAGAAGTGCAGGAGGCCGAGGCTTCTGCATGGCAGGATCTGAAAGAGAAGAGGCAGCGACTGGGAGACACCTTAAACCCCGAGCTCCGCCAGTCCATTACCACCTTGCAAAAGCTGCTGCAATCCCAAGGGCGGCTTAAGGAGCTGGAAGCTCTGATGTGGGAGCTGCTGAAGACAAACAGAGCAGACATGGAGAAGGGAAAGCATGCTTTTCACGGCCTCGATTGGCGAGACGGCTTCGATTGGCTCGAAAGCACCTTGCTCGCCACTTTGCTGGCAGAAGCCAGGGTGCCCGAAGCAGAGCATCTCCTCACAGAGGACTTGGAGCTCAAGCGGCGCACCCTGGGCAACGAGAACATGTCAACTCTCAATACCCTAGAACAGCTGGCAAGCTTGCTTCAGCAACAGGGTCGCCATGCGGAAGCTGAGCCTTTGCTTCAAGAAGCTATCAAAGGCAAACGGGCGCCTTACATGGAAATGCGGCAGACGCTTGAGGCATCAGAAGATCGCTAATCGGCTGGCCGAGTCACCATGACAAGATACCGTGCATTTGTTTCACGACCTTGAGACGTCAGCACCTTGAAGGCTAGCTGCTAGCTCTCTCAACACTTGTTCGTGGACTTTCCGCAGGCGGTCGGGCTTGCACAAAGGTGCTTAGCCCTAGACCCAAAACCTTCTTGCAAATAAGATTGTGCCATGACTTGAATGCCGCAACCTTGACATCTCCATGCTACTTCCACGAAGCTCCTGCGTCTTCAGAGCCCCCGACGCCATAAACCCTAAGGCCTCCTAGGGCTTACGGTTTAGGGTTTTGGAGCGTTAGGAGGCCTTGGGGTTTAGGGCGTCGTCTTCTCGGGAGAGGGCTGCAGTTCTCACTGGATGCCGTTGAGGCTCGCAGTTGGTACTTGAGCCCAAGTCCTCAAAGATCCGAGATATCGGAAGCAAGGAAGCCGACCATAGGCAAGTATACCCTACACAGCGGAATCAACGAGTGGAGTGCGTGAATATGACTTCGAAGACTCGAAAATAGTACATAACAGCAGTCCGTGGTAGTCGCACCAAGCATAAATACCGATGTGCGTGTGTGTGTGTGTGTGTGCGCACTTGATATGTTTATACACTCGTATGTGTGTAACAGCATACACCTACGTATGCATGCATACAGAGATGCTTCATTGAAGTCGCGCACTAACAAAGAGAAGGTGATTGGCACTGGACAGCAAGATTCGCACTTCTGTGTTTTGTCGGTTGGCAGAAGCACTTTCAACCCTGAGCCCTACTCCGTAAGGGCTAGCGGTAGCCTGCAGACTCACCAGACCCACCTGTAGTACATCCTATTTGGCCCTAAGCCTGGCCCTAAGCCCTAAGCCCCTACAACCTAGACCCTGAATCCCTGAAAGCCCAAAAAGCTCTACTTTGCGAAAACTCAAGAAAGAGAGACGTCCTGCTTTAAGCAATGGTCTGGCCCTTTGCCAAGTCGATGGCATTGCACCTCGGATTCGTTGGTTTCGGCTTTGGGGATTGAGGGCTTGGCCTAGAGTTCAGCTGTCGAGAGGTGCCCCCAGTAAGTGTGTTGCAAGTAGGGTTGCCATTCTGAATCCCTCTCTGCAAAGTAAACTAGTGGCACCAACGTGAACTACTGACGCAACCGTCTGGTCCTAAACTTAAAAAAGGTCGTACGCTAGAATCCTTCTGAACACCTATCAGACATTAGTGGGAACCCATGAATAATTAGTATTGTTATTTCTTAAGGGTTCTTTAGTCCGAGTATAGTATACAATACCCCCAAACCCTATTCCAACCACTAAGGCCCCAAGAAAACACAATGTAAAACCATGTAAGACTCTCACCCTTCAGGCTTTTTGTAACGCGGCCCTTGTGGCTTAGCTTTGGGCTCTAGGGCCTAAGACTTGCCAGGGGCGTTCCGGGTTATCTTAGGCTTGTAATTCAGGACGACCATCAAAGGTTACGAAAGGGGTCTGGGAATTTCGAGAATCTCTTCAGCCGTTTACTGGATTTGGAGGGCTACGAGGTGTCTCCAGAGACTCAAGAGCTGTCAAGAGGCTTTGGGCTTGCAGAAATGACAGCTTACATGCAGGTAGAGCGTTGCAGTTTAGCTTAGCTAGCATTGGCTAAAATGGAAAGTATGTGAAGGCCACTCAGTTTGTTGCAAACTGCCCGCAGGATGCAGCGGATGTCTCACATGAACTACAGGAATCGCAAAATATATAGAAGCCTTAATGATTATCTACACTGTTTTGGGGGTTCCTTGTTACAAGTATATACAATGTACCGCAACACCCTTCTAATTGTATTAATTCAGACAGGCCCTGTTCCTGTAGCACCCGACGGGAAGCCTTCAAGCCACGAACCCACTGTCTTGCACTCGATCCCTCGAAACCTGTAAACCCCAAACCTTCAACCCTGACCTGGACTCCAAAAGTATGCAGAATATCAGCCGTTTATTGGTCTTGGGCCATGATTTTACCTACTTCTGGGGATTTAGGTAAGCTCTAACCCCTGGACCCTACACCCTAAACCCTAAAATGCAAACACCAGAAGTCCTACACGTTTGCCAAAGGTGCGCTTTGCTGCAGGGCCTTCAAGGCACTCAAAGCCTCGGGCGCGAAGCTTTTTGGGCGAGCCACCATATCTGCTTGCATCCGGAAATCTGAAGCCTCGCGTGTCTAAGAACTCCGACTTGGAGGGTCGGGCGAGTTAGTAAGTAGTTATCTTTTAGAGTTGTAGTGTATAGCACCATAATCCCAATGAGGGTCCCTTTTGGGGTACTTGTAGCGCTGCAAAAGCTACTTACTAAGTCCGCCGACACTGAAAGTAAGGCATGAATCCCGGACGCTTCAGCTACTTCAGCTGTCTAAGTGCTCTTCACTTCAGAGTGCTTCGTCCACGTTTGCCTGTCGATGCTTGCATCCCTGCTTTGCGACTTCTAGGGTTGTAGGGTACAGTTCGGAAGGCAGAGGTTTCGACCTGGGAGGGTTTAGGGTGCAGGGTACAAGACCTAAGCCCTAAGACCCAACCAAACCCGGCCTCTAAGGAAAAGCCGGTCAATCCC